GAGGTCTTTTATCCATTTTGAGTTTATCTTTGTGTACGGTGTAAGAGAATGGTCAAGTTTCATTCTTCTACATATAGCTGTCCAGTTTTCCTAGCACCATTTATTGAAGAGACTGTCTTTTTTCCACTGTATATTTTTTCCTGTTTTGTCGAAGATTAATTGACCATAGAGTTGAGGGTCCATATCTGGGCTCTCTACTCTGTTCCACTGGTCTATGTGTCTGTTTTTATGCCAGTACCATGCTGTCTTGGTGATCACAGCTTTGTAGTAAAGCTTGAAATCAGGTAACGTGATGCCCCCAGTTTTATTTTTGTTTTTCAACATTTCCTTAGCGTTTCGGGGTCTCTTCTGATTCCATACAAATTTTAGGATTATTTGCTCCAGCTCTTTGAAAAATACCAGTGGAATTTTGATTGGAATGGCATTAAAAGTATAGATTGCTCTGGGCAGTATAGACATTTTAACAATGTTTATTCTTCTGATCCAAGAGTATGGAATGGCATTTCATCTTTTTGTGTCTTCTTCAATTTCTTTCCTGACTTATATTTTTTAGCATAATACTCTCAAGGTCTATTCACAGTGTCAGACATGGCATGATTTTTATCCCAATCTCAACAAGCAGATAAATTTTATAGAAAATGATTTAGTAATCTAGGTACTTAAGCCATTCTCAAATGGTAATTTTTAAGCATTCACAAAAGAAGACAAGATGAAATAATTAACAGAAATATTCCCCTTGCCCAGGTTTCATAATTATCAATGTTAAAATTATTTTTCTCTGTCATCTCCCCCTGTTTTATGTTTTGATTGGCATTTCATCTTATACTGTTTCATCTATAAATTCATTGCATTTTACCCACAAGTTTGTCGGTAAGTATATCTAACTGATAAGAAAATTATCTTTGACCTACCATCACACCAATATCAGTATCATCAATAAATCATAATAGATTCTCATATTCAGTATGTTTTCTTATTTCCTTTTCTCACATGATTATGCCTTGTTTTGTGTTTCTTTTTTTCACAAGTAAGGTGTTTGAATCAAAATCCAGACAAACCCCACACATTGTATATGGTTGTTATGTTACTTACGACTCTTTCTATTACAGTCCTTTCATTTTTACCTCTTGAATTGATGGAGACATGACATCATTTGTAGTGTATAATGTCCTTGCTTACTCAAATGATTGCTTCCTGATGGTGTTACTTGTTTTTTCTTTACTCAATTACCTCTTATGTGCTAATTGTATTTAATTATTAATTAAATTTAGATTCATATTTTTAACAAAAAGTTTACAGATGAGACTGTATGCTTTCTATTGTGTTACATTATGAGCTGTGTAGTCTGCTTGATCTACTTTTAGTAATACTTAGACTGATCAGTGTGTCCATCTTGTCAGCCTATATATCTATTATAAATATCACCATCAATATTTCACAAATGGTTTTTAGCACATACTAATGCATTGTCTAGATCCATTATTACATTAAGAGGTCCAAACCATTGTACCTTTTGGTAGCTCAGCTGGTAGAATGGAGGACTGTAGGGTTAAAGAGGTCCAAACCACTGTTTTCTTTTTTGTTTTTGTGAATTCACAACTTTTTTGATAGCTGTTTGATTACCTAAATTACATTATACACAGGCAGACAGGATAAACATTTGGTTCCTCCCCTCCTCCATCAATGTTTTGGAGTAGTAACTTGATATCCTAGCAACTTCCACTGATGATTAATCAATTTCCTTTTATAATGTATACACTCATGGGTTTTTATATATCTGATATGTTTCCACACATTACAGCCACATTATTGTATTTTTATGCCCAAATTGTCCTATTTTAGACTAGTAGGTATGATCCAAATTGGTTCCTGTGTCCTCATATTTTTGTTTCTTTTCCACCTGGCACAAAAAAGTGTTCTAGGCTTAGTTCATATGATTCCTACCGCTAAGCTGGAAACAGCTCTTTCTCCAAGAAGTCCTGGTTCCTTTCAATGAGAAATAGTATTTAGAAACTACACCCTGCTGTCAGAATTGCTTACAATCTAACATGAATAATGGGACCCAATTAGTGCCAAAAATTTACATTACTTAATTCAACAGGTTTAGTTTCAGTCTTTAGAATGCACTCAGAAAATGTACTCTGTCTTCATATTTCTACCTGTTAATAATTGGCTCAATATAATAGATATATTTGTAAAACTTAGTAGCTGCTGTGTTTTTAAAATTTTAAGAATATGCTCATTATTTAATAATTTATGTAAGGCTCAGACTGCTTTAGGTCTAAGTATTCTACTTCTATATAGTGTTTATATATTTTTATATGCAGAATTAATCAACTATTTGAAGGCAAATACACAGTGATCTTGGAATCAATACTAGATCATAAATACTTCTTCATATCTTGTATTGTAACACTATCTCCACTATTACTGTATGTGGAAATGTTCACTTGACAGTCAAACATTCAGATTTTTGCTATAAAATACACATTTGTCCTAGACTTCTTAATTTAATTTAACTTTTAAAAGATTTTATTTATTTATTGACAGACAGAGATCAAAATTAAGCAGAGAGGTGGCGTGGGGGGGATCAGGCTCCCCGCCGGGCAGAGAGCCAGACAGGGTTTCTATCCCAGGACTCTGAGATCGTGATCTGAGCCAAAGGCAGAGGCTTAACCCACTGAGCCACCCTAGACTTCTTAATTTTGAACATGTGATGACTCAGGTCATCATATATGCTTTCATTTTTGTTCTACTAATAAAGCTAACTTTGTTAATAGCTTTGGATAACTAGTTTTTAATTAAATCATGTTTTAATCTAAGAAAAAACATGAATATAAGTATCTTCCTTTATTCTCATGATTATTTTAATAATCAATCTTGAAATAATTTCAGGAAGTAACTAAGTATTTTCTCTATTTCTTTATAGAGCAGCTAGGTATAAATACACTACAATTTAGATCTTTAATTTTGATAGGCATTCTACAATATGTCAGATTTGTAGACTCTCAAAGGAAATATTTTGCACCTAATCTTTATTACTGACTAAAATATAGGGTATAATATGGAACATATTTTCAAACTTGGGTCATCATATATACTTTCACTTTTTTTCTACTAACAGAGCTAAATTTGTTAATCTCACATAATAAGTTTTCAAGAGAATAGGATCTAAGAAATATTTTTCCCTACTCTCAGATATTCCTATAGACCAATTCAAAGTTCCAAAGAACCATATGGATGATTATACTATGAAGGAAATAATAACAATTAAAATGCAAGTATTAATATATTTTATATAAGCTAATTTTCAACTAAATTTTAGAGGAAATATAATGATCTTTTTCAGAGACTCTGAATTTGACCTCTGACATTCATTTAATTTTTCCTTCAATAAGTTATAAACATCAGTCTTTATTTTAGGGAATTTGCATTAATGTTTCCAAATTTTCGTTTTCACATTTCTTTTGTTCAAAGTATAGTGATACTTTACATTAAAATCAACTTGGTGCAAGAAGAAAAATTTCCTACTGACTCTGCTGACTTTTCTGAGAATTCATTCTGTATTGCTATTATTACTAGTAACATCACCAAAGGCTTGATTAACTGGAATAGAATATTAAAATGTAATTTAGCATTATATGAGAAAATGATTATTGCATTCAAATAAGAAATGTTTTAGATAGAGACAATAGATTTAATCAGGAAAATCCTGTGGAAAACATAGAATATACTTTAAGCTTTGAAGTAAGACAATGAAATAATTTCTTACGTAGTAAATTCAATTCACTGGCATAAGTAGACATTATCTCTTTCAGGAATTCAAAATTTTAGAATTTTAATTAAAAAAGCATTTTCATTTAGGGTCATTTAGAATTTGATCATTTTTTCTCATTCATGACCCATACAAAGCTCAAAATTTATTCTTACCTTACTGAATGAAAAGTATTTTCTAGAAGAAATTATTATTTTATCTTACTTTGATTTACTTTATAATTTCTGCAATCTGCTCACATGTTAGAAATGACACTTATGTAATTCTTCATAACATAATGCTTCATATGTTCATTTATTTCATAACATAATGCTTTATATTATTATATATATTATATATATTATATTCATAACATAATGCTATATATTATCATTAAACTACTTTCTTGAATAAGTGATTTTGTGATCTCTTTCAAATATTCATTTTTGTTCTAAAAATATGATTCTGACTATGAACATTTCATTTTCATGCCAAGTTCTGGACAAGCATCTAACATGCAACCTCATACAGAACCTCATTGAAAACATTTGTTTCATACAATATGACCTGTGAGAAATATCACATTTAAAATTCCGTATTTCTGAAATCAAGAAAAGAATAGATTTGTGGAATAATTTGAAAATATGTACAAAGCAAAACAAAATAAAGCAAGATTAACAGGCCAACATTTTTGGGACACTTGTGTGGGGCTCAGACAGTTAAGTGTCTGACTCTTGATTTTGCTCAGGTCATGATCTCAGGGTCCTGGGCTGGAGCCCTGTTTTGGGTGTTGGGCTCTGTACTCTCTGGACTTTCCCCTCTGCAGGGAGTCTGCTTGAGATTCTCTCTCCCTCTCCCTCTACCCCCATCCCCCCTGTTCTCTCTCTTGCAAATAAATAAATAAATCTTTTTTTCTTTTCTTTTTAAAAAAAGATTTTATTTATTTGAGAGAGAGTGAGCAAGTGAGAGAGAGAGAGAGCACACGAGCATGGGGAGAGGGAGAACCAGACTTCCTGCTGAGCAGGGAGCCAGGTACAGGGCTTGATCCCAGAACCCTGAGATCATGACCTGAGCAAAAGGCAGCCACTTAATCAACTGAACCACCAGGGTGCCCCAATAAATAAATCTTTAAAAAAAAAATAAAAGGGCAATATTTTTATTTATTTTACCCCTTCATACTTTTTAGAATTTTTTCATTTGTTTGAGGCAAATAAAACTTTTTGAACCCTGTCCTTAAAGGCCTGTTTCACTTGCTGATTCCTAGTGTATAAATGAAGGGATTCCATAAGGGGGCAACTGAGGTATTGAGCACAGCCACTCCTTTGCTTAAAGTCACTCTGTCATTTGCTGATGGTCTTATATACATGAAGATGCAGCTACCATAAGAGATGGAAACTACAATCATGTGGGAAGAACAGGTAGAAAAGGCTTTAGTCCTTTGCTGAGCAGAAGGGAATTTGAGAATTAGCTTGATAATGTAGCCATAGGAGAGAAGCACTAACAACAATGTGACCATTAGTGTCAGCACAGCCAAGAAAAAGGACATTAGCTCTAGGAAATGTGTATCTGAACAAGAGATCTGCAGGATGGGAGAAGAATCACAAATAAAGTGATCAGTGACATTGGAAGCACAGAATTCCAGCTTGAGTCCCAAGATGATTGGAGGAAAGATGATCAGGAATCCAGTTACCCAAGAGCTGAGTACAAGTTGGTAGCAAACTTTGTTGCTCATGATGGTGGTATGGTGGAGAGGTCTACATATAGCCACATAATGGTCATAGGACATAGCCGCCAGAAGATAAAATTCAGTTACTCCCAAAAAGATAAAAAAAAAAAACAACTGAGTCATACAACTTATATAGGAAATAGTTCTGTCCTTTGTCACAAGGCTCACCAGGAACCGTGGAATACAAACAGTTGTGAACGAGATTTCTAAAAAGGAGAAATTCCTTAGGAAGAAATACATAGGTGTCTTCAGGTAGGATTCCAGCAGAGTGAGAATGATGATGGTTAAGTTTCCTGTTACACTCAACAAGTAGGTAAAAAATAGAAAGAGGAAAATTACAACCTGCAATTCAGGGTCATCTGTCAGACCCAAAAGAATAAACTTTGTCTGCATTGAATGATTCCTCATTTCTCTCTTACAGGTTTTAACAAAGCTAGATAAAAAGAGTTTAAAAAAATGGTTAAGATTATTTGCTAGAGTCAATTAAAAAACAAATAAACAAAGAAGGAGAGAAGCTAACATTCATTCATCTCCAGCAACACACCATGTAGTGTATTTGGATATTTACATAAATTTTCTTATTAATATCTCCAACAACCTTCTTTGAACAGAGTATTATAATCCTTACTTCTTAGAGAAAGAAATTGAAGCTCGGATTAAAGAGTCTGTTTGGGGTGTATATCTAAATCCCAGTTTTCTAAAGTTGGTAAATCTTTAAATGACCAACACACAGCCGAGGTTGTGTATTCATTCAAATACCTTGGATAAGATCTAGGCATTTTTATTTCTACAAAGTTTACAGGTTCATAGCCAATTTAGTAGTATTGTGTTAGTAATCCAGAGTCATTTAAATACTACACCTTTGTTCTTTTTAAATTTTATCCATACTGAATATCCGGTATAGCCTTGAGTACATGAATAGAGTTGAGAATATTCATGAATTCACTTAAATTCTACGGAAATTGTGTGTAAATAGGGCACACAATTTTTGTTAGAAAGAGCACAGGCCAAAAACTGAAAGAATTTGCAAGTACCAAACCAGCTCTACAGGAAATATTGAAAGGGGTCCTCTAAGCAAAGAGAGACCCTAAAAGTAGTAGATCAGAAAGGAACAGACACAATATACAATAACAGTCACCTTACAGGCAATACAATGGCACTAAATTCATATCTCTCAATACTTACCCTGAATGTTAATGGGCTAAATGCCCCAATCAAAAGACACAGGGTATCAGAATGGATAAAAAAACAAAACCCATCTATATGTTGCCTACAAGAAACTCATCTTAAACCTGAAGACACCTCCAGATTTAAAGTGAGGGGGTGGAAAAGAATTTACCATGCTAATGGACATCAGAAGAAAGCAGGAGTGGCAATCCTTATATCAGATCAATTAGATTTTAAGCCAAAGACTATAATAAGAGATGAGGAAGGACACTATATCATACTCAAAGGAACTGTCCAACAAGAAGATCTAACAATTTTAAATATCTATGCCCCTAACATGGGAGCAGCCAACTATATAAACCAATTAATAACAAAATTAAAGAAATACATCGACAATAATACAATAATCGTAGGGGACTTTAACACTCCCCTCACTGAAATGGACAGATCATCCAAGCAAAAGATCAACAAGGAAATCAAGGCCTTAAATGACACACTGGACCAGATGGACATCACAGATATATTCAGAACATTTCATCCCAAAGCAACAGAATACACATTCTTCTCTAGTGCACATGGAACATTCTCCAGAATAGATCATATTCTCGGTCCTAAATCAGGTCTCAACCGTTATCAAAAGATTGGAATCATTCCCTGCATATTTTCAGACCACAATGCTCTAAAGCTAGAACTCAATCACAAGAGGAAATTTGGAAAGAACCCAATTACATGGAGACTAAACAGCATCCTTCTAAAGAATGAATGGGTCAACCAGGAAATTAAAGAAGAGTTGAAAAAATTCATGGAAACAAATGATAATGAAAACACAACGGTTCAAAATCTGTGGGACACAACAAAGGCAGTCCTGAGAGGAAAATATATAGCGGTACAAGCCTTTCTCAAGAAACAAGAAAGGTCTCAGGTACACAACCTAACCCTACACCTAAAAGAGCTAGAGAAAGAACAAGAAAGAAACCCTAAACCCAGCAGGAGAAGAGAAATCATAAAGATCAGAGCAGAAATCAATGAAATAGAAACCAAAAAAACAATAGAACAAATCAACGAAACTAGGAGCTGGTTCTTTGAAAGAATTAATAAGATTGATAAACCCCTGGCCAGACTTATCAAAAAGAAAAGAGAAAGGACCCAAATAAATAAAATCATGAATGAAAGAGGAGAGATCACAACCAACACCAAAGAAATACAGACAATTATAAGAACATACTATGAGCAACTCTACGCCAACAAATTTGACAATCTGGAAGAAATGGATGCATTCCTAGAGACATATAAACTACCACAACTGAACCAGGAAGAAATAGAAAGCCTGAACAGACCCATAACCAGTAAGGAGATTGAAACAGTCATCAAAAATCTCCAAACAAACAAAAGCCCAGGGCCAGATGGCTTCCCGGGGGAATTCTACCAAACATTTAAAGAAGAACTAATTCCTATTCTCCTGAAACTGTTCCAAAAAATAGAAATGGAAGGAAAACTTCCAAACTCATTTTATGAGGCCAGCATCACCTTGATCCCAAAACCAGACAAGGATCCCATCAAAAGAGAGAACTACAGACCAATATCCTTGATGAACACAGATGCAAAAATTCTCGCCAAAATACTAGCCAATAGGATTCAACAGTACATTAAAAGGATTATTCACCACGACCAAGTGGGATTTATTCCAGGGCTGCAAGGTTGGTTCAACATCCGCAAATCAATCAATGTGATACAACACATTAATAAAAGAAAGAACAAGAACCATATGATACTCTCCATAGATGCTGAAAAAGCATTTGACAAAGTACAGCATCCCTTCCTGATCAAAACTCTTCAAAGTGTAGGGATAGAGGGCACATACCTCAATATTATCAAAGCCATCTATGAAAAACCCACCGCAAATATCATTCTCAATGGAGAAAAACTGAAAGCTTTTCCGCTGAGGTCAGGAACACGGCAGGGATGTCCATTATCTCCACTGCTATTCAACATAGTACTAGAAGTCCTAGCCTCAGCAATCAGACAACAAAAGGAAATTAAAGGAATCCAAATCAGCAAAGAAGAAGTCAAACTATCACTCTTCGCAGATGATATGATACTATATGTGGAAAACCCAAAAGACTCCACTCCAAAACTGCTAGAACTTGTACAGGAATTCAGTAAAGTGTCAGGATATAAAATCAATGCACAGAAATCAGTTGCATTTCTCTACACCAACAACAAGACAGAAGAAAGAGAAATTAAGGAGTCCATCCCATTTACAATTGCACCCAAAACTATAAGATACCTAGGAATAAATCTAACCAAAGAGACTAAGAATCTATACACAGAAAACTATAAAGTACTCATGAAAGAAATTGAGGAAGACACACAGAAATGGAAAAATGTTCCATGCTCCTGGATTGGAAGAATAAATATTGTGAAAATGTCTATGCTACCTAAAGCAATCTACACATTTAATGCAATTCCTATCAAAGTACCATCCATTTTTTTCAAAGAAATGGAACAAATAATCCTAAAATTTATATGGAACCAGAAAAGACCTCGAATAGCCAAAGCAATATTGAAGAAGAAAGCCAAAGTTGGTGGCATCACAATTCCGGACTTCAAGCTCTATTACAAAGCTGTCATCATCAAGACAGCATGGTACTGGCACAAAAACAGACACATAGATCAATGGAACAGAATAGAGAGCCCAGAAATAGACCCTCAACTCTATGGTCAACTAATCTTCGACAAAGCAGGAAAGAATATCCAATGGAAAAAAGACAGCCTCTTCAACAAATGGTGTTGGGAAAATTGGACAGCCACATGCAGAAAAATGAAATTGGATCATTTCCTTACACCACACACGAAAATAGACTCAAAATGGATGAAGGATCTCAATGTGAGAAAGGAATCCATCAAAATCCTTGAGGAGAACACAGGCAGCAACCTCTTCGACCTCAGCCGCAGCAACATCTTCCTAGGAACATCGCCAAAGGCAAGGGAAGCAAGGGCAAAAATGAACTATTGGGATTTCATCAAGATCAAAAGCTTTTGCACAGCAAAGGAAACAGTTAACAAAACCAAAAGACAACTGACAGAATGGGAGAAGATATTTGCAAATGACATATCGGATAAAGGGCTAGTGTCCAGAATCTATAAAGAACTTAGCAAACTCAACACCCAAAGAACAAATAATCCAATCAAGGAATGGGCAGAAGACATGAACAGACATTTCTGCAAGGAAGACATCCAGATGGCCAACAGACACATGAAAAAGTGCTCCACATCACTCGGCATCAGGGAAATACAAATCAAAACCACAATGAGATACCACCTCACACCAGTCAGAATGGCTAAAATTAACAAGTCAGGAGATGACAGATGCTGGCGAGGATGCGGAGAAAGGGGAACCCTCCTACACTGTTGGTGGGAATGCAGGCTGGTGCAGCCACTCTGGAAAACAGCATGGAGGTTCCTCAAAATGTTGAAAATAGAGCTACCCTATGACCCAGCAATAGCACTGCTGGGTATTTACCCTAAAGATACAAACGTAGTGATCCAAAGGGGCACGTGCACCCGAATGTTTATAGCAGCAATGTCTACAATAGCCAAACTATGGAAAGAACCTAGATGTCCATCAACAGACGAATGGATAAAGAAGATGTGGTATATATACACAATGGAATACTATGCAGCCATCAAAAGAAATGAAATCTTGCCTTTTGCGACGACATGGATGGAACTAGAGGGTATCATGCTTAGCGAAATAAGTCAATCGGAGAAAGACAACTATCATATGATCTCCCTGATATGAGGGAGAGGAGATGCAACATGGTGGGTTAAGGGGGTAGGGGAAGAGTAAATGAAACAAGATGGGATTGGGAAGGAGACAAACCATAAGTGACTCTTAATCTCACAAAACAAACTGAGGGTTAATGGGGGGGTGTGGGGGGTTGGGATTATGGACATTGGGGAGGGTATGTGCTATGGTGAGTGCTGTGAAGTGTGTAAACCTGGCGATTCACAGACCTGTACCCCTGGGGATAAAAAGATATTATATGTTTATGAAAAATAAAATTTAAAAAAAAAAAAAAAAAAAAAGAAAGAGCACAGGACATGACATGTTTAAGACTCATTATAATATATATTACTGCTTCATGAATGGCAGTAGTAAGAACGTAATTCAAAATCTATGCTAATTCGGTGTGAAGTCAGAAAATTGCAGATGGGTCTGAAAATCATAGAACATAGTC